ACAACCCGATATGGGATTGACCGAATGCCAAAGTTCCGATATCAAATTGTGACTGCATTTCGAATTGAAGGCTTTCGGCATCCGTTGGCCGGAAGTACTGTACAGAATGCCTTGGTGGTCATAGAACTGAAAAACACATTTTGAGTGCAAATTAGCAATAATGCCCAAGTTGACACTGCCTGCCAAGATGCTTGAATCTAAGCCTTCGGGCAACATTCACAAAACACCATCAATAGGTCATGTTGTAGCACCTGAGCATCTCGCTGTATTTTAGGCTTTCCAACCAATCGTACCCTTCTTCTTCCTGCTGTTTTTCACAAAAAGTACGATCAATCTCCTCGCCAAATGGCTTCAGACCAAGGTCTCCATGGTTATCCCACAGGTGACAAATGCTGCTGCTGATATCACCGATGAGAAACGCGGGTGCGGTGATTTCATCATCATCGTCATAGTCGTCATATGGAGGAAGAAGGGCAACAGGAGAAGCCTGGCTTTGTAGTTCTTCATTCCAAGCGACTGATGACGAGGACCGAGTTGAAGTTGGAAAAGCAGAAATTAATAGCATGAAAACCATGACACCGGCAAGTGCCATTCCGACGGTACAAGCTCGTAGTAGTATGGAAGGCCAGCAAACATGATTGGGATGCCAGCATGAGTTCTGCCTCATCGTACTGTTGCTGTCTTCCACCACACCAACGAGCAATAAAGCATCTCGCAGTGATGATGCTGATGATTCGACTTCAAAGGATTCAATAAGTTGACCTGTCATGATATCCAACTATAGTATTATGAGAGCGACCTATTGCTGAATGATTGAGGGAGTACTAGCTATATACGCAATCCTCGAAGGGATCAGCATATTCTTCGTTGGAGATATTTTAAATTGCAGATGTGTCGTATTTAATTTTAATAATATCTCGCGTATATCCATCATCTGTTTCAGTCGTATGCGATTTATTTGTACGTGAGATTCGAGAGGAATCAAATAAAGGTGACTGTGCTTATTGGATACAAGATGAGAATGAATAGCATAAAATTCAAAAATAAAATGCGGAGCTAATCATGGAGGTTTTTCATTCATCTAAGGGCGAGGCATTGTCTTTATGGGGAATCAATACATATTTGGTCATAATCCATAAAATAAACAAAGTTCATGCACTCTTCCGACATCGGATCAAGAAGCTCTTCGTGGTACTTGCCGTCTTTGCATGCCTGCTGTATTGATTTAGCGCACCCTTTCGCCTGTGCTTTACACAGATCCTCCATACCTGACTCGTCTGCACTCCCCATCTGATAGACATCTACAGCATCAAATTCTCGACAGTTGAACGGGCCGGGACCATTCAGCTTGTCCCAGTCAACATTACCTTCGTTGTCGCAGAACCGATAGCGGTGTTCTATGCCACAACCCGATATGGGATTGACCGAATGCCAAAGTTCCGATATCAAATTGTGACTGCATTTCGAATTGAAGGCTTTCGGCATCCGTTGGCCGGAAGTACTGTACAGAATGCCTTGGTGGTCATAGAACTGAAAAACACATTTTGACTGCAAATCAGCAATGTCCGAATTGACACTGCCTCCTAAGATGCCTGAATCTAAGCCTTCGGGCAACTCGTTGACAAAACACCATCGATAGTTCATGTTGTAGCACCTGAGCACCTCGCTGTATTTTAGGCTTTCCATCCAATTTTCCAAGCCTTCTTCTTCCTGCTGTTTTTCACAAAAAGTACGATCAATCTCCTCGCCAAATGGCTTCAGACCAAGGTCTCCATGGCCAGTCCATACGTTACAAATGCTGCTGCTAATATCACCGATGAGAAACGCGGGTGCGGTGATTTCATCATCATCGTCAAAGTCGTCATATGGAGGAAGAAGGGCAACAGGAGAAGCCTGGCTTTGTAGTTCTTCATTCAGAGTTGCTGCTGAAGAGGACCGAGTTGGAAAAGCAGAAATTAATAGCATGAAAACCATGACACCGGCAAGTGCCATTCCGATGGTACGAGCTCGTAGTAGTATGGAAGGCCAGCAGACATAATTGGGATACCAGCATGAGTTCTGTCTCATCGTACTGCTGCTGTCTTCCACCACACCAACGAGCAAAGCATCTCGCAGTGATGATGCTGATGATTCGACTTCAAAGGATTCAATGAGTTGACCTGTCATGATATCCAAATAGTATTATGAGAGCGACGGATTACTAGACGCAAAAATCAAAGGGATCAGCATTATCATTTGTTGGAGATCATAAAAATTGCAAATGAGTCGTATCCATCATCTGTTTCAGTCATGCAGTACACGT